AATTTTCTTGTAAACTTCATATTTACTGAGATATCGCACTTTGACGCACTAATGAGCAACCCTGTATATATAAGTTATAAGAAAAAATAATTATTAGGTATTCTAATGCCGGCAATTAATTGTCATTTTTTTACATAAAATTAAATATATAGGCAGGTATAACAAAAAACGGTTACACTTAGCTATATGATATTATACATGAAATATAGGTAGGTACATATTTAGAATTTGGACTAGAATTTACAAATGTAATAATTTATAGGGTGTGCCATATAAAATAAGCAAGCAGTATAATCGGTGTGGTCATCTTTAAAATGGAAAATAATTTATATTGCTTGTCCCCAATTATTTCGGTATACTCTCATATTTTCAATTTCTCACAATTATAGTTTGCCATATACAACGATCGCGGTGGCTCCCGGTGGGACACCCTGTATTAAAACAAACAAACAAGAGCATGATGTCAATTTTATCTTTCTTTCAGTCTCTATAATCAGTAACAAATATGACGAATTAAAATAAATGCGTTTACCACCTTGATTTTGCTATTCGTAAATATCAAAATATCAAAAAAATCCGTTGGACTTAACGGAGCTGATCATTATTTTTGTTTAATCGATATGCCACAAAGCAAAACAGATTTGTTGTATGTAGAATTAGCCGACAAGCTTCGATACTTGGGTTTCATCAAGCGTTTTTATGCGCCATTTTTTTATCAAAGCCCAAAATAATTATCTACTTTTCGGCTTGATGGTATCGTATTACTTTACCTTTAAATATTATATACGTATGTACTGGTTATTTCCGTAGTTGTTGTTGGTTGAGTTTTATCTGATTTTTTAATTCGCAATTATTTATATCGCTATTGAAAGTGGTTGGGCAAGACAAATTTTGGTTAGGCGCTCGCGCAACTTTGCCTACCCTTAGCGCCACCACTGAGTATACACTTTAATTCATATTTTTCCAATATCCCTCGCGATGTGCCAGAAATAAGTTGATAATTGAACAGAAAGATTACTCAATCCTTCCGAGACAATATGTTTATTCTTGATAACTGACTTTGTCTTTATAATTGTCTGATTTACGCGCCGGTTAAAATTCTATACCTAGGCCCAATCAAAACGTAAAAAGATCTGCACCTTACATCAAGTTTGTTGTACTTTTGTCAAAATATGTAGGTAAATCATACTAGGTGCATAAAAATATAGTCGAGCTGGGTGGAGACTGTGTGTGGTGGAGATATACATATAGACAATGAAAAAGAGCGCGATAATAATTTAGAATTTCAAAATAGTTACTTAAATGTTTTCAGTTTTCAAAAATTTCACTTTCTATTTGCCATTGAGAGCATACGGAAATCTAAATAACAAACAGCCTGATA